TAAATGTCATGATTTTAATTTATTGCTAGCTGCCCAGAGTTGTGGAAGCAAGATTAGACAGGCAGGCAGACAGACAGATATTTAAATAAATAGAGCCTTCTCCCAGCATTTTTTTTTTTTTATCTTCCCTATAGGGAAAGCAGTTCTAGATTTTGGATGGTTGAATTACTCCTGAGATTTTGGAATGACAATTTTTTTTTGGTTTATTTATTTATTAGACTTGTTATCCCTTTTCTATTCCATGAGCTTAAGGCAACTGACAGTGATTCCATGAGGTAGGTTAGACTGAGAAGGATTGTCCCCAATTCACTTAGTGAATTTCCATTATTGAGAGTGGATTTGAACCTGGCTCTCCAGAGCCCTAGTCAGACCCTTAACTGCTACATCCTACTGGCTTTCTGAAGTTTCTAAAATATAACTGTTGTATTAAAATGATCCATTGCTCTTCTTGGGGGAAAAAAAGCTTCTTTAGGAAATAATATGCACGCTGTGTTCAGTTTACCTTCCATTACCACAATTGAAACAATATACATGTGTGCATTGATGAAACATGAAAAAAATGAGATAGTTGCATCAAAATTCCTCTGTATAAGTATTTGCACATCCCTAAAATTACAGAGGTACAGTAAAGAAGTAAAACAGAAGACAATTCCATTCACTATATGAATGAAAATGAACTTCAGAATGTTGAGGAACAGCAAGCAGCACTGATATATGTGTAGATAATTAATATTACATCTTGAATAAATTTTGCTGAAGGGTTTACTCTTTTGTATTTCCTGTGGACTTGTCTCAACACTGTGGCTTGCTGTTTTATTCAGTGTCAGGGAATTTGCCTTACCTGTGCCTTTGAGAGAATGAACTATGAAATTGGCAGAAAGCAGCTCTCCAAAACCCTGCTTTTGAAAAATACAGAAATAGGAATCATGCAAGGTGTCGTAAAGAATACAGAATCAATAATAATTCTGTAGCAGGCTTAGAGTATGGACCCCAAGGATCAGAAATGATTTTTCCAATCCCCTTTGGTTGACTTTTCCTTTAAGAAGGCATCTAATGGAGTTCCATTACTTCATGTCCACTGCTCAAGAACAGAGGCATCTCTGTGGAAGAATATCCATTAAGAGGTACTGGATTTGATTGTCACTACAGGAAAAACAGCTCTCAGAAAAACAATCTGTAGATTTTATTTTATTCCACAATAATCAACACATATACATCCACTTCTAAATCAAGAGCAGTTCTTATGTATCCCCAAATCCAAACCCTTTTATATTCTTCTTAAGATAAACAAAAGATTCTGTACTTGTTATAGAGACCTGAAATGCTTTGCTGTATCCAGGCATAATTTTTTTTCTGTAGCTGACTACTCAGAGTGCATAACTAAGGGCACTTCCACAGGCGGATTCTGTGCCAACTTGAAAACAGTTGTGACCTCTGCATTGTCCTGATATTAGCAGCATGGATGAGCTGAGCTAATTTATTTCCAGCTCAGATGCAGGGCAGCTGAAACTCCTGTAAAACTCTGTGTGTGTGTATGCACATATGCGTGCATGCATGCGTGTGTCAGAAATATGCCATAGCCTTTTTCTTTTTTTGGGAGAACATTTGCCACATACCTCCCCACAACTCCTGAGTTTCAGGCTCTGTTTCTAATTTCAACGTCGTTGTGCTTCTTGATCTCTCAGTGACTTTCAATACCACTGATCATAATATCTTTCTGGACAGGCTTTGGGGTTGGGAATTGGGGGCACTCTTTTACAGTGGTTCTCTTTTTTCCTTCATGGCCAGCTACAGTCAGCATTGACAAGGGAGAGAGGTCACCCCCTAGGCCCCACCTGTGATGGGTGCCACAGAGTTTAATTCTCTCTCCCCCCTCCTGTTTAACACCTGCATAAAACTACTGGATGAGGTCATCCGCTGGTTTGGGGTTTGGTATTTTCATTATACTGATGATACCCAATTATACATTTTGACCCGAAGCTGGGAGTTTCAACTGGTTCATAATGTAGGAGTGCAGGCAGTGATGGGAATATTTTGGTATGTCCATGTGACACCTCTACTTTGAGAGCTACACGGGCTGCCAGAATGCTTCTGGGTGCTATTCAGAGTACTGGTAATGACTTATAAAGCCCTACCTAGCATAGGGCTGGATTTTGTGAGGGGCTGCCTACCTCCCACGGTTTCTGCCTGGCCAGAATGAGTGGGCAGAATTGGGACATTCTGGGTACCTTCTATTAAACAGTGCCATGTCCTGGGACCCAAGAAGTATGCCTTGTCTGCTGTGGCACTTGCCCTCTGGAATGAGATCCTCCAAGATCCGTATGGTTCCCACCCTGATGGTGTTCCAGATTGTCTGGAAAATCTGACTGTTCTCCTAAGTTTTCGGTTAGGGTGGAGGGCGCCTCCCTGTTGGATGAGTTTTTATACATGTTCTCTGTGGGATAGTTGGATGCCGTCTTGGTTATTTATATGGCATTGTGTTTTTATTTTGTGTTTCCTGTTGATGTTGTGAGCCACCCAGAGTTGTTTTGGAGTCAGATGGTGCTTAAATCTAATGAAATCCTCCTCCTCAACAACAGCAGGAGCAGCAGTAATGAGATAGTTTCAGGGAAAGGATAAAAAGGTAAAGATGCTCTCAGATTGAGCCCCAGTATGCCTTAATGCTTTCCCATTCAAGTGTTAACTAGGCTTGATCCTGTTGAGTTTCCAAGCCCAGGTAAGTTCAACCAGGTGCTGCCACCTGCTGAGATGAAATAAAAAGCTTAATCATTCCATAGCTGTGGTCCGAATAGAGCTCTGAATTGTAAAAACAAGAGGTGTATCTAAGCAGTGAAACCACAAGGACGTTCAGAGTTACATTGTTCTAACAAAAGACTGTTTACTAGAGGCAAAATAAGACACCCATTGAGCAAATTCAGTGAATTATTTGGCCTTTAGGAGGAATGGTAACATTTCAAAATTTGGCCACGTTTCCTGCTTTGACTCTAGATTTGAGGATTTAATGGTTCCCTTCATAAATATAATAGCAGAATGGTGGTTTAATCAGCATTGTCTAGTATTGGGAACTCTCCAGCAAATTCCTTTCAGTTTAGTTGGCAGAAGAAAGCTCCTGTTCCTTCTCAATTCAGCAACTCTTTTTCCTGGCAGTTCTTTGGGATTCTGCCTTCCCCAGAACACTTCTTGTCTCAATGGATTTGAGTAACATCGAAGAATGGCAATTACAGCCAGTGGAAAGAAAGCCAGGATGTTTGAGTTTCTTTGTTACCCAAGGTGAATGGCTATGATATATTTGACTGAAATAAGCAATTCTGCAAAACAGTATTGTTCTTTTTGAACAAAGTTTCATTTTTAGCAGATTGTGCTGGCAGCAACCGCATTTAAAATAGGCTTTTACAACCTAAAGAAGGAGCAATTGCAGTGAATGTAGGAGATTCAGTGAAGTTTACTTGGGAGTGTTTTGCTGATTATTTTACCTCTTTTGCTTGTAACCTATTATTTTATTGGAAATCTATATGTGTAATAACTCAGAGATTACCAAATAGATTTTAAAAAAAATCAGCAGAAATATCATTCTTTAGTATTGACAATAATTCCCTGTAGGCTTCTATTTTGCCATAGAGAAATTCTATGCAGCCAGAAAATTATCTGGCAATAAGTTTCTAAGAAATGTCAGAAGTTAGCCATTTAAGCAATTTTACGTAGTGAGTACTCATGAGGATTAATCACACTAGGAATCAGCAATGAAAAGGTGAAGGTCTGCTAGCAGTGTAAAGTCCAATTTCTTGTACAGAGACATTTTCCCAATATTAGTATGTTTCAGCATGAATACAATTGGTTAACATTATAACCAATTATAAGGTTCATAGATTGCAATATTCAAAAGTTTGTGTTTTCTTACATTGAATATAGTATATGCTTTAATAGATAATAGTGTTATATCTTTGCAGTAAGGATTTTATATCATGAAAGTATTTCTAACATCAATCAATCAATCAATGGACTCTACAATGTATTCAACAGCATCACTCTTTTTATAAATAACAATCATATTCAACTAGTCACTGAGTTTAATTTTTTATCACTCTAATTGGTGAAAATCATGTAGTATCTTCTCTCCCCTATAGAACATCTCTTAATCAAATTTGGAAAGTCATGTACAATTATGGGGAGAGAATGAGGGAGATAAGCATTTATTGCATCATCAGAATCTTGTCACAAAATGCTAGGTGTTATCTTTTATAAACTAAATAAGCAATTTATATCATGATTAATATTTATTTCATCTGTATTATAAATATTTATAAGTTTGATTTGGTTTGACCCAAAATAAAAATTTCTAAGAGAAGATACTATTGGCCATACAATTGGTTCCCTCCTATTTTGTCAACATTGAATGCTGACTGATCATAAGTATTTGGGCCTGTAAAAGTTTTTTCATATTTACTTGAATTACATTCTCTTGAAATAACATTTAAAAGAATGTTCCTGTTGATCTATCAAGCGACAGGAGAGATCTAGAAATAGTATATAAAAACTGCTATATCATAAACTTGTTCATTAAAATCTAAAAATGTTTGTTTTGTGTTGATAATGATTAAACCATATATTAAATATCCATTTAATCACCACAAATTTATCAAAAGGTCTTTTTTCCTTTGAACTGTATTCTTTCTTTTTCACATATGTGCGTGATATAAATGTAACACACTTCACATTTAATTAAACTAATCAGAACAGTTTCCCTTGGCAGATTATTATCAAGGCACTCCAATGAAGAGTATTTAGCTGAAGTTCTTCTCTTTACAATCTTTCTTCTTACTCCAGTTGTAAACTTAATCATATGTTCTCAAATTTTCTCAGAAAGTTGATCTGAAATGGGAAGGTGTGAAATGGCACTGTGTAACTTTGCATTAGAAACAGTAGTTCCAAGCTGTCTACTTTCATTTCCTTCAATCACACTTGTTCAAGTGTAATAACACAATTCTCATTGATATTCCCAGCAAGAATCATCTGAAGAGGCTTGAATGATACACTGGATAAATAACTTTACTTGGGAGAAGCCAGTCTGGATCCTTGCTCAACTCAGAGGTAAATGTAATGGCCTTAGGTTAATGACCCCATCTTTATAAATGCTTTGTAGCAGTGTTTCCATCATCTATGTAGATATCTCCACAATCTCTTAATGTCTCTGTCTTCTACTCAAAGGGTTGGGAAAGTTTGTATGGATAGTTGTATGTGGAAAGGGGCAAGGGGAGAACAAGTGATGACACTTGTATCAGTCATCAAGATACAAAAACAAAAGGAGGAGTCTCGTGATATCACATGTGTATTATCATTTTCCCATCCCCATGGCTTTCTGCAGATGCCTACAATTGTATGGTTATATATGGTGTTTGCAGCTGAATGTCAAATAGTGACTCTAGATATAGAAATTTTACCACAGCCATCAGGAGAAAAACAATACACTTTGAAGTCATGAACACAACTAGCCCTGTCTCTCATAACTATAACTACATGGAAGCTTTGAAGATAAATTATTCAAGGATTGAAAAGCAATTTGTATGCTGAATTATTTTTTAATAGAAAATGTTAAATAGAATAAGCCTAACCAAGGGGACAAAATTAATGAAACTCTGAAGCAAACATACAGCTTATATTGATATATTGATACTTCATGCTAGAAACCTGTTTAGGAAACTAAAATTGAGGAAAGGTCTAAAGGCACCTGAATATAAATGCAAAGGATTTTTCAAAGTACTTTGATAAATCAATGGTCAAAATTATGACATGAATATTATAGTTGAACTAATTGATTTCAGCCTCAGTGATAAAAGAAAAATCCCATGGGACTTGCAGTCTGGCCAAAGCAGCTTGGAAAATCTTTTTGATAATAAATAAAATAAAATGTTATGTCCTATTTCTGTGTTTTAATTGTATCTGTGCATATGTGGTTGTGTGTCTACTGTTTATAAGATTGGTTTTTAAAACTCATCAAGCTTTTGCATACATTACAGAAGCTCGGGAGAAGCACAGTTAACATAGGCTAACATCTTGTTCTTTACATAGCAATGCACTGAGCACTTTCAGAGAAACCAATTTTCAGATTGCTAGTATCCTAAGTAACATTTGTAATTCACAATTCAGTGCCTATCCTGATTGCTCTTAGTTAGATGGCACAGTCTATATTGGACCAGGCCTACAATTTTATCAAGGAATGGACAAAGCCACAATCCCCCTGAATAAAAGAACACTTTGTTTTAGAAAATGCTTCATGCCTGGATTTCCATCAAATTAGTAGCTTAAAATAAAGACAAAGTGTATTTGTGGAAATAGCCCAGGTAAAAAGATGTTAGAGTACATCAGTGTATCATGAAAACTAAAATTCCCCAATGTATCTTAAAGGTCAAAAATAAAAGAAAACACAAAACACAAAAGCAGATGCTATCAATTTAATGTAGGACTGACCCTAAATAGGGAATTTGCCTATAGGATATGTACATCTGTCTGTCTGTCTGTCTCAAAATCTTGATGAAAAGAGTGGAGGGAAAAGAATGAATAGGTTCTTCCCCTATTATTCTTTCATTTAAAGTTGCACCTTGTAAGCTTGTTTTGGATTTTTTTTTTCCCTAAAAAGGAGGAAAGAATTCGCATGAAAGCACATCACAATTGAGGGAATAGATTGCCATAAAAGCAGGTTGCACACATCTATTTTGGGCCAGAATCAGCTCCTAAAAATCCCTACCCTCTTTAAAAATTCAGTGACAAGGAATCAAAATAAAAATTGCCTTCCTTTCGTTTGGGGATCCTTTTTGATATCAAAAGCCTCTGATGAATGGGAGGAATCGCTCTGTTCCTAAATCCAAGCTGGTACTTTTCCTGCTAAAATCTTGGTACTTTACTGATATTGTTATTTTATAGTATCATTTCTAGGCAGGCAGACTCCATGTTATTGTTGTTTCTTATTTATTTTATATGTTCTTGATGTTGCATTCCTATGTAACCTTTCTGGACAAGAAAATAAGGAATTAGTTAAATGACAAGCAAAACTGTAACATGTAGAAGCTGTGAGCTACTCTGTAAATATATGCATTAAAAAGTGATGGGAAGAAAATGATGTCAACCATAATACTCACCCAAAGAAGTCCAAGTTGAATAAGTAGTCTTTGGTAGAGTTTTAAAAGAAAGGACATAGTCTCCTGAGTATAAGGAAGAGAGCTTTCCAGAATAGTCCCAATGTACAGAAGGCTTGCTGGCAATTCATCATTTTGCAAGTCATAATTAGCATAACCATCATCTATCTAGGTTTAGAATTTAGAAGCCATCTGCCAAATCCGCTTGTCCCAAGTTGCTAGATCTTTGTCCAAAAGAAAATCTTGAATCTGGCTCTGAATCTGCAAGTAGCATAGCTGGATCACTTCAAATGTAATATGTTCATGACCAGTGCCCCACTTAACAACCTGGCTGTTGCATTCTGTACCAGCTGCATCTTTGAACCAAGCACAAGGGTAGCTCCATATAACGCACAGCATAATAAATTAAAGATAAGGCCACCAATGTATGAGCAAATGTTATTAGATTGTCCCTAACCAGGGAATCACAACTGGTTTACTTACTGAAACTGGTAATAGATGCTTCTGGCCACCGAAGTCATTTGAATCATCAGTATTAATTATTATTCTACAAAAACAATGTACCTATTATTTGTGAGAATGTGCAACACCATTTAGAGTAGGCAAAGCCATCAGTTCCTATATCTGAGAACTACCAATCCATGTGAGTTATAACTTGCTAGGATTCAACTCCATTTATTGTCTGTCACCCACTATAGCACTGTGTCCAGACATGCAAACATGCACAGCCTGTTCTTAACTGATATGTCATGGAGAGGTAAAGCTGAATCTCATCAGTATGTTGATGATTTTTTTTAATCTGTTCAATTGTGACTGATTCTCAGAGACTGCCTGGACAAGTCCCTGTAGTTTTCTTGGCAAGGTTTTTCAGAAGTGGTGTGCCATTGCCTATTCCCTAGGGCTGAGAGAAAGTGACTGGCCCAAGGTCACCCAGCTGGCTTTGTGCCTAGGCGGGACTAGAACTCAGACTTCCGGTTTTTAGCCTGATGCTAAATGTTAACCACTACACCAAAGTGGCTCTCTATATTGATGATACTTTGTCCTAAATGCATAAGGATTACCCCCAGAGACTTGATATGGATGTTAAATAGCATGGACAAAATAGGGTGCAGAAATGCAGTCACCTAATGCTACTTTCTGAAACGAACCTTTTGAATGGGAGTAGAACCATTTTATTACACTGTAGAATCATAGTAACTCGATGTCCCCAGCCCTGCAGTCATGGATATGATCATCAATGATATTAAAAGCTTTTATTTGCACAATTTGCTAGATGACAAAGATTATTTCATTATTTAAATGTAAAATTCTGCTGCATTGTGTGCAAACTCCCCCTTCAAATGGTCAGCGATGATTAGTGATTGCAATTTTAGGGAGTTATTTGGTTATGTTACAGTCCATGAGCACAATAATTCATTTAGTCATTCATAGCCATTAGAGCTATTAGATTATTCCCTTACATTTGTATTACTGTTGATTTGTTTCTAGTTGTTTAGCTTTCACTCCTATTGCTTTTTACACAGTAACACTTATACTGCACTATAGTGTATACATAGTTTTAATATCAGTGTCAATTATAATTTTACATACAGGTTTTAGTAATGGTGATTTTTATACTGATTTGTCAGCTATTTTCCCATAGTTTTTATAGAGTAACATTTATGTCACGCAGTTTTACATTTTATTATATTACATTGTAGTTTCATCTTCATATTCTAGTGATTTTTTTTTTATTGTTTATGTTGATAATTCTAAATTTTAGTCATTTTTCACTGCTTACAAGCTAGATTGTTGATACTGGGTTGGTTGTAAACAAACAACATCTAATGTTATTTTATACTGGTCAATAGCTAAAGTAAAGATCAGTTGGCTTTTTGACTCAAAAGCTGCGGAAATATAAAGCACAATCAGCAGAATCACGCTTCTTCATCATCTATTAAAACGGCCAAAGCTGATTCAAGGCCTAAATCTAGACTGAAAAGGGTGAAGATAATGTCATTTTAGAACACTGTTGGGAAACTTGGCCCAGAGTAGAGCTCCATGACGCCGCAAGCTCCATGTTGGCTTTGCTTTCCCATCCCTCCATTTGAAGCGCATCTCCTGAGACCCTGTTCTAGAATGTCTGCAGTTCAAGACCCAGCTTGATCAGTCACCTTATTCAAAAAGAATATTTGTAACTGGGCATAAACCTCTGCATCAAGGGAGAACTGCCTCAAGAGTAATCATATCACCTCCTCCTTTGCCTGCTGGAACAACTCTACAAAGACACCCAGCCATACTTTCCTCAACTAGCACAATTAGCCAAGATGGACAAGGATCCTGTCTTCATGTTCAGATCTCATTAAAAAAAAAGCGCACACAATAGAAGCAAATGGTGCACTGCACCACTCAGTAGGTACCATCAAAAGCAGCATTCAGGTCAGCATGAAGGTGGATGATTTTGTCCTCAAAGTGTCTGGCAGTATTATCCTTGAGAGCTCCAACATCTGTTTTGGGGCAGATGGCAGTAAGTCTATAATCAATCCCAAAAGCTTTGCTAAAGATGCAATGGAAGTTTGTTATAAATGACCTGAGATACCATTTGTGACTGTGGGAAGACAGGCACCGATTTGCGTCAGTAGAAGACAGTAAGAAACAGGAAGGGGTCTAGGTGAGTAAGTGCAAATAATATGATTAGAAAAGGAAATATGTGTTTATAGGCAAGCTATTTAACCACCAGAGAAGGGAGGATTTACTGAGGGGCAGTGTCTGGGGGTCTGTGCAGGCTATAAAAGGAGGATGGAATCCCAAGGCTTCTTGGAAAACATCTGCTGCACCATTGCTGCACCACCAATGTCTTTTTCCTCCTTCTGAGAGCCATGTGGCCACTGGAGAGGCAGGGGATGGCATGGTCCAGACCTGAATAACTCCCTCCTCAAAAAAGGATTATCAGCAACCAGAGCAATGCAGCCCAACTAT